CATCCATGTCGAGTCTCTGCATGATGATGGCCAGCTCCACCTCACTGGGCATGTACCCCAGAGAGCGCATGGCCATCCCCAGCTCCTGCTTGGATATGAACCCGTTTCCGTCCCGATCCAGAACCTTAAACGCCTCCCGGATCTCTGCCAAGGTAAACAGGACATCCACTCAGCATCCGTGAGCACTCGTCCTTCCTGCCTGCAGCAAATCTTCATGTAAACATTCACCCGTTCGCTGCTCTAGAGGGACGGCTGCTGCTGCAGCGCTGTCCTCCTGGTTCATCACCCTTCTAAGGGATCTCCGGGCAGAACCGGCCCTGCACCCCCGTCTCCACATCAGATCACTTATTTTCTACACCTGCTTTCACAGCTTCCACAGGGCCAAACACAGCCCTTTAATGGGTTTGCTTCTTTTTCCATATTTCACTAAACATCAACGTCCCAGTCAGGGAGCAGAGGACGGTTTTCTGTCTGCTCTAGACGAGAGGCCCTCCGGAGAGAGATGACTTCATAAACGATCACTACAACCGCAAAAGCCACCAAAGTTAGAAATGAAAACATTTCTTTCAGGTTTTCTATCCTCCGATAGGCCTTGTTCCTCAGAAACCTCCAACAGAAAACAGCAGGTATCCAACCGTCTGAGCGAGGGTCCCGAAGGGCTGCAGACGCAACGACTCTCCGGGTTTGGGATTTACGAAAAAACCTCTGTGGGAAATTTTTCTTCTGCTTCCTCCCGATCCTCGCTGCAGGTTGGATATTTATCAATAATGAGAAGAAAATAACAAATTGATTGGAAGAAAACTAATAAAAAGGAGGAAGAGAAGCGACGGGCCCCAGGGACGTCTTCCTCTTTAACTTCTATTGGGGACAGAGTCCGGAGAATTCCGGGCTGGTACCGGACGAGTCCATCAGAATCCTGGAGGCTCCACGGATGTTAAGCAGGCGCCGTGCATGATGAATTATGGTGGACAAAAGCAACGATGGGTGGAAACGTTCTCCTGCCTTCTGGAGTTGTGGCTTAGGGGGTGGAGCCTAAAGAAAGGGGGCTGGACCTTTGAATTGTGTCTTTTCAAAATGAAGCTCGTGGCTACACAACGTTTTTCCAGGAACACCTGCCACGCCTTTAAATTAAAGATGGCCGCCACATCTGACCAACACAAGTCGGTGTGTTTTACAGATGTTGAGTGAAAACTTGGTGTGTGTGTGGTCGAGTCGACATTAAAACCATGTCAGAGCAAACACACGTCACCGAGATCCTCACGGTTGGAGTTGAACCTCGTCTCATCACCACGCTGACCTGGCGCTCGCTGGGCTTTGGCTTCACCTGCAGAGCATCGTGGGCTGTGGACACATCCGACTCAGCCGACTCGCTTTAAACACCTCAGCTAGTCCACCGGCGGCTCGCTGAGGTCGAGTCATCGGTTAAGAGTCTGCTGGCTTCCCTGTGCTCTAATAAACACAGATGTCATCAGTGAGCCGAGCCGAGCCGAGCCGAGCCGGGCCGGGTGAGAAAAGAGAGCATCTGGTGTGTGTTTTAAATTAGGGGTGGGATGCGACTTCTCTAAAGAACACGATGACTGCATAACGTGCATGAGCACGATGCTGAACGCTGAATAATTACAGAGACGAGAGTGGAATAGATCAACTCCATCCTGCCTGCACAGCAGAGGCGGGGGTGTTAATAAAGCTTTTTACTCAGCAGAATGCTAAACACACACGAGTGCAACGCGTACCGTCCGTAAACGTGGACGGGTACTACAGAAGAAAACTGAGGTGAGCCAAACCCATAAGGTGCAAGCTGAGAGTAAAAACGCCTTTAATCCCGTTCTCTGGTCGGTGGCGCGGAGCTCGCAGCCATTTGCACGTTTCTCCTCTGAGCAGCAATGACTCAGAAAAGACCAGAGCTCTCAGGGCTCACGAGAGGAGAGCGAGGCGCGTTTTAACGTTTCTCACTCAGACAAACGATCAGAGTTCCTCGGTACTTTGTCCTGTTTTAGTTCACGCCTTTTTCACCTGAAGTGTGTATGAATTCATGCTCGTCACGGGTGTAGTCGACTGAAAAACCATTTTTAATGATTATTTCTGATTCCAACAGGTCACTCTGAGTGTTTCATGCAGGCTGAACATGAGAATAGTCTCCTACACCTATCTCCTGCAGTAGCTGCTGACAGAAAACAGACGGTGAAACTCTAGGATAGAAAATCCTGACAGATCTACGTCACCCTGTCACTAACATTCATGGACTCACCCATCTGGACTCACGACGGGGAAGGCTGTTGTTGGTTTAGCGTCCAGGAAACAGCAGAGAACGTCTCTGCTAGTAGAAGCTAACTGTTAGCATTGGCTACTCCACCACACAGCAGAACTCCTCCAGGCTCGTGTTATTGGTGGAGATAAAACATCAACGTTGCAGAGCAAACAGAGTCCGTGTTGCTGTTAGCCAATCAGAGGAGAGATGTCCACATATCAGGAAGTAAGACTGCAGATCCTGCCATCTGAAGCTTTCTTCTGATCTTCTAGATGCTGAAACAGGAGCACCAGAGCGTCCGGTACCCAGAGAACGACTCCTACTAGAGACGCTGCAGAAGTGTTAAATACGTAAGTGAACCACGCCTAACTGGGTTCCCAACATCAGCAAAACCAGAGAAATGATAGTGGACTACCGGAAACGACCAGTCAGGGAACACCAACCCATCCGCATCAACGGGGTCGAGGTCGAAAGGGTCAGCAGCTTCAAGTTCCTTGGAGTCAACATCACTGAGGACTTCTCCTGGACCCTTCACACAGACACTACTATCAAGAAAGCTCGCCAGCGGCTTTACTTGCTGAGGAGGCTGAGGAAGTTTGGCGTGAGCGCCTGCTTCATCTCAAATTTCTACAGGTGTGCAATTGAGAGCTTGCTGACGAGCTGCATCACAGTGTGGTACGGAAGCTGCTCTGCCAGCAGCCGTAAATCACTACAGAGGGTGGTGAAAGCAGCAGAGCACATCACTGGCATGAGGCTTCCTGCCATTCAGGACATTTATCTCCAACGATGCCTCCGGAAAGCACACAGCATCATCAAGGACCACAGCCACCCGGCACATCAGCTGTTCTCCTTGTTACCATCTGGCAGACGTTACAGGAGTCTGTCTGCTCGGACTACAAGACTTAAAAACAGTTTCTATCATCAAGCCATACGACACCTCAACCACAACACCTAAACACACACAACACAGGACTCAGAAGCTACCCTGCAGCTTCACAAGTACTATATTTAATCCGTACTGGTCACTTCACTTTATTGTTATTGTAATTTATATCCAAAGTGCAACACTGTAATCTATATCCTGCATAATTTATATCCTGCAATACTGTAATTTATATCTAAATTGCAATACTGTAATTTTCTGCAGCTCATTCCTGTGCAATATCCCATCTGCCCTCCCGTCATATTTCTTTTCAGGATTTTCTTTATTGGCACATATATATTTAGTCATCTTTTCCCTTTTACCATGTCTCTCTAATATTTTGCTCCTTACTATATTTTTTTGCTTTTTTTTATTATATTTTTATTATATTTTATTATATTTTCTCCTGTATCATGTTGCTGAGAGGCCGCTGCTCGTCATACACGTTTCATTGCAATGTTGACCCTGTGCTAACTTGCATATGACAAATAAACTAAAACTGAACTGAACTGAACTGAGTTGAGTTGGCCGTGCCCGGGCTGATGATTACTCTGTGACACGCAGACTCGGGCTATCATCACTGAGAGCCGCTGTGATAAACAGACCTGTTCACACCTTTTACACCAGGCTCCTTCTACATACTGTAAATAACACTTATGATCATTCTTCACCGCCATCCCCGTCAGCACACTAAATGTCAGTCTGAACCAAAACTCAGTCGCTGAGACGTAAGCTCATCAATCAGCTAATTATTAGCCGCGCCGCCAAACCAGCTGGATCGGCCGAGCGTAAACGGAGCGTGAACTCTGAATCGTGCGTTGAGCGCCTAATCCAGACAACGAGAAGTGTCTGAAAACCAGAGTGAAGGTGCTTCTGGAACAGAGTGGACCATCTTCATCATCACTGCCGGCAGCATCAGCAGCTCCGTTTCACAGCCAACATTTTCCTCACAGAGAAACTAAAGGAGCCACATCAGCAGCTTTCTGGTTGTCATGCAGTGAAACGAGCGTTTCGTACATCTAGCGGTGACTCCGGCTTCTGTCGAGCGCTTCCCTCCGTCTGGAGCGCTCTGCATCAGAACAATGGCACCAGTCTCTCTGGTCATCTAACTCGGGGAACAAATCCACCCAGACTCACGGCTGCTGTCCATCTAGCAGCTGATTGGTGGTCCTCAGATGGACAAACACAAATCTGTTGGAGGTTTTCTTTCAGGAGGAAACAAACCTGCAAACATTTTATCCTCTTGTTGTTTACAGCTCAGACTGTCCGGGTCTGTTTTAGTAAAAGCAGCCACGTTTGACCGCCAGCTGCTTTTAAAGTCTTTTATTCCGTTGGACGATGAGGACGAGTGACCGACTCTCTCGTTTCACCTGAACCGGTTTATTCAGGTGATGCTGCCGCCACGGTGCGTCCCTTCCCTGTGCTGTGGTGGCGTGGAGGGGCGAGGTGATGTTGCACCACTGATGTCGCCAAGCTTCATGCAACTCGTTACCGTCTGGAGTCAACCCAGTTCAGGATGACTGGTGCAGCGACTGGTTCATTCACACCCAAGTGATGACCACTGGTTTTATTTTAATGGTACCATAAAGAAAAAACGGCGTAGCTTCATCATTTCAACATGAAAGGATATTAGTTTAAACTTGTGACGTGGAGGCCCGGAACGACGCACCTTTGGTTTGAAACGAGGTTTTAGAGCTTTCATTTCCTCGGTCGTCAAACGTGTTATTAAAACGGATGTTTCAGCGGGCTTGTTCGAGTTGAGCAGCGTCTCTCACACACACACACACCCACACACACACCCACACCCACACCCACACCCACACCCCCACA